GCCCGGCCCGGCGGAAGGCTTCTGAAGGTTCTAGAAGTTCGTTGGGAAGGTTCTAGAAGCTTCCGGGCCTCGGAACGTTCTAGAGGCTGCTGCCGGCAATGTTCCTGCCTGGCGCCGTGGCAACCATCTTGCAGACCGGCCTCCTTTGAGGCCCCCCCCCCGGGTGGGGACAGGTGACCTGGCTTCTGTCATCCCCCGTGGCGTCCCCCAGCGTCGAGGCTCCCGGCCTCCACCGTTGCTCCCTGAGCCTCACATCGCCTCCTGGGCTCGCCTTTTGTGTTTTTCATATTTTTTTTTTTTTTTGAGGCAGAGTCTCGCTCTATCGTCACCCGGGCTGGAGTGAGTGCCGTGGCGTCAGCCTCGCTCACAGCAGCCTCCGACTCCCGGCCTCCAGCGAGCCTCCTGCCTCGGCCTCCCTCCGGAGTAGCTGGGACTACAGGCATGCGCCCCCACGCCCGGCTCGTTTTTTCTATATATATTACTTGGCCAATTTCTTTCTATTTCTAGTAGAGACGGGGTCTCGCTCTTGCTCAGGCTGGCCTCCAACTCCTGACCTCCCACCATCCTCCTGCCTCAGCCTCCCTCCCCAGTAGCTGGGACTACAGGCGTGAGCCTCCACGCCCGGCTCATGTTTTCTACATATATTTTTAGTCGTCCACCTCGTTTCTTTCTGATTTTCTTAGTAGAGACGGGGTCTCGCTCTTGCTCAGGCTGGCCTCCAACTCCTGACCTCGAGCGAGCCTCCTGCCTCGGCCTCCCAGAGTGCCGGGATGACAGGCGTGAGCCCCTGCACCCAGCCTGGATTTAGTTTTTATTCTTTTTATTTCTTTTTTACGAGACAGAGTCTCAGTCTGTCGCCCCGGCTAGAGTGCCATGGTATCAGCCTCACTCACAGCAGCCTCCACCTCCTGGCCTCGAGCGATCCTCCTGCCTCAGCCTCCCTCCCCAAGTTGCTGGGGCAACAGGCATGCACCACCACACCCGGCTCATTTTTCTATATATTAGTTGGCCTAAAATTAATATGTTTCTATTTTTTTCTTAGCAGAGACGGGGTCTCGCTCTTGCTCAGGCTGGCCTCCCACTCCTGACCTCCAGCGATCCTCCCTCCTTGGCCTCCCACAGTGCTGAGATTACAGGCGTCAGCCTCGGTGCCCAGCTAATTTTTTCTCTATATATATTTTTTAGCTGTCCAGCTAATTTCCTTATTTTTTTAGTAGAGACGGGGACTCGCTCTTGCTCAGGCTGGCCTCGATCTCCCGACCTCCAGAGATCCTCCCTCCTCGGCCTCCCAGAGTGCTACAATAACAGGCACGCGCCACCGCGCCCGGCTAACTTTTTCTATATATTTTTAGTTGTCCAGCTCATTTCTTTCTATTTTTTTTTTTTTTGGCATGCCCAGCGCATTTGTATATACTTTACTTTCTATATCCTTTCTGTTTCTATATTTCTATTTTTCCTATTTCTATATTTCTATATCCTTTCTATACATTTCTATGTACATCCCAGCACTCTGGGAGGCCGAGGCTGGAGGATCTTTGGAGGCCAGGAGTTTGAGGCCAGCCTGAGCAAGAGCGAGAGCCCCCCGTCTCTACTAAAAATCTACATGGTAAGGTTTTCGAGCTCAGTCGGAGGATTACTGCTTTCCTTCCAGTCCGTCCAGGCTCATTTTTTTTTTTTTTTTTTTTTTTTCAAGATGGGGTCTCACTCTGGGGCTCAGGCGCTGCCGCCAGCGACATCGGGCCTCAAGCGATCCTCCTGCTCAGCCTCCCTCACCGAGTAGTTGGGAGACAGGCGTGCGCCCCACACACGCCGGCCTCATTTTTTTCTATGTACTTCAGTTGCTAGCTCATTTCTTTTTTTCTTGTTTTTTTTAAAGTAAAGACAGGGGTCTCGCTCCTTGCTCAGGCTGGCCTCGGACTCTTGGCCTCGGGGATCCATACCGACTCTGCAGCCTCCTCCAGAAGTAGCTGGGATGACAAGGCATGCGCCACCACGCCCACGGGCTCTTTTTTCTGTAGTATTATTAGTTTCCAGCTCATTTCTTTCTTTTTTTTTTT